TGGCTGTCACTGCCACACAGCACCGCATAGGCCCTGACGGAGGAGCACAGGATAAGGTCCCACCTCCCTGCCGCCACCACTGCCGCCTCACAGCCTAGACCGCCGTGGCCTCACCTGTGCTCCTGTAAGAGGCACCTCACTGCTTCTCACCCTCATGTACCTATAATCCCAACACTCAGGAGGCTGAGGCAGGAGGATCACCGTGCGTTCAAGGCCAGCGTGGACTACACCATGAGATCCTGGCTCGAAAAACAAAAGCAAAATGAAAAGCACAGGCTCTGACTTCCCTGCCCTCTGTCTGAACTGATCTCCCGAATCCCTACACAGCATGAGCGCTGACCTAGCGAGGCCTCCTCCTGTCCTCTGCCATCAAAGGCCCTGCACCATTTGGTCCTGAGTGCACAGTGATTCTGAGGACCTTGCCCTGCAGCAGACTCTCCAGTGACACTAGAAGCCACTTTGTCAGTGCCCAGGCCTGGGCAGCAGTCCCTGGAACAGCGTGATCTCCTGCTGGACCCCAGGTTCTAGCCCCAGCCCAGAGGGACACAGAGTCCAGTTGTCAAATTCCTGGAAAAAGCTGCCTGAGGGAGTTTAATGAGTGACTCATGAGGCTATTTTTCCCTATGTGCAGAGGCGCTTGGGTCAGTGACACGAGGGGCTGGCAACACCAGAGGTGGTGGCTGGACAGCCTTTAGCCAATGACAGGAAACGCCCTCCGGGGCATTGGCTCTGCCTACAGCAGGGTGGGAGGCCTTCATACGTAGCTACAGCCCCAGCCTGTTTATTTGTTTTACACAAAGTCTGGCTAACTTGCTAAATTGCTGGGCCTGGCTCAAGTTGCAATCTTCCTGCCTCAGCCTCCCAAAGTGCTAGAACAAAGTGCTTCCCGCCCCTAGCCTCTGCGGCTTCCTTCTCCGATAGTTACAGCCTCAGGCTGTGGAATGAGACGGGTGTGCCTGGTCGAGCTCTCCCTTCCAGGCTGTGTGCGTTGAGACCAGGGCCCCACCCTTCCCGCACCCATTCCTGGTGAGGTATGGGCCCGATTTCTCTTAGTGTTACAGAGAAGTAACCCCAAGTTGTCAAAGAATGGAGTCCATGACCAAGGAGGTGAAGAGCAGGAAATGTTTATTAAGAGAAAGTTGTTGGGCCTGGGACAGTGGAACCACTGACAGGAAATTGGATGGTTCCGACCCCTGCCCTGCAAGCGCAAGGTCACAAGTTCTATCCCTGGTACCAAAAATAATTAATTAATTAATTAATTAAAAAGGAACAAAAAGAAAGCTCTCAGGAGGGTCCTTTGTCTAGGGGCTCTTTGTCTAGGGGTCCTGTAGAGTGAAATCACGTTGAAGGCTACCAAGGATCCAAGTACCATCAGCCTATAGGATTCCGAGTAACCAGTTGGCTCACACAGATCTAATGGAAAAACGAGGTTCATGGCAAGGTCACGGAGCGGGGAGCAGAACAAGGGGGCTCTGCAGAGGCCGGGGAGGGGGTCCTCTCTGTCACGTTGCTTCCCTCTGTGTTCCACGTTTCCCTGTGTCGCGTTGCGTCTACAGGTTACATTGTTTCTGTATGTTACCTTGGTTGTTCACATGTGCTACACTGTTCGAGCTCTCTGGACCCTACCTGCTGGTTAGAGCTCAGCTGCAGCTGGTTTATCTCTGGGGAGGCTCCAGCCGGCGCCCGGCGTCTCCATCTCCCCAGAGCCGTGTTTCTGTCGACTCAGACTTTACCACAGACCTGCTTTGTCTCATCTCTAGGCCGACTCTGTCTCGGGCCTGGCCCCTTTCCAGCTGCCTATCACTTTCTACCTGACTGCAATATCAAGAGTGTGAAATAAACTCCACTTAGAAGAGAATGCACAGGGCCTGGGATGTAGCTCAGTGTCTCCACCACCTGCCTTACAAACACAAGGACCCAAGTTCGATCCCCGGTACCAAAAACAAACAATAAATCAATAACAAAATAAAAATCACTCAAAAGAAAATGGACAGGAAGATTCAACAAATGATAGTTTTACAAACCCAGAGGCCTGGGGGACACAGGGGCACAGAGAGCAGGGATAAGAGAGAACCGGCCCCTCCCTTTGCAGGTGTTAAAACACTGAGATCAGCTCTCTCCTCTGGGGCGGCAAAGTCCCCGCCTCCATAAAAAATTAACAGTCCAACAGAGAGCAGAGCTCGAGATCTGACCCCTGGGCCAAGGAGAGCAGCACGGACAATGGGGTCTGCAGGGCCCTGCAGAGGCCCTTGCTCTCCTGTCCTACTCCCGCCTCCGGCAGAGGGCTTAAGACATGGGGTCCACAAGCCATGGGCCATGCCTGTTTTTGTAAAAGGCTGGGTGCAAACTAAAAATGGCTTTTCCATTACAAGTGACTGAAAAATAGCAAAAGAAAGTGATCCCAGCACTTGGGTGGCTGGGGCAGGAGGACCACTCCACATCGGAGGCCAGCCTGGGCTACCCAGAGTGCAAAGCCAGCCTGAACTGCACAGTGAGACCCTGTCTCAAAAATATGGAATAAAACTCCAGCATATGCGAGGATGACCACAAACTTGACACATAATGAGTCTACAAATAAAGTTTTATTGAAACACAACATGCCTGTCTGTGTGTACGACATCTGAGGCTCCCTTTGCTCCTCTGATGTAGAGGTCAGAAGTGACAGAAGGGGCCAGGGATTTAGCTCAGTGGTTCCACTGCCTGTCTCATAAGCGCAAGGATCAGAGTTCAATCCCCAGTACCAAAAAAGCAAAAAAGTGACAGAAGTGATGTCCCCAAGGCTGAAAATATTTCCTATGTGGCCTTTATTTAAAAAAAAAAAAAAAAAAAGGCTGCAGACCTCTGGCATAAAGGAAACCAGCTCCGAAAGCAGGAGGTTCTGTTGGTCGGACCAGAGTCAGGCTCCCAGTTTAATCAATAACTGGGTCTTGCCCCTTCTTTTCTTTGGAAAACAAGACAGAGATGTCCTCTGTTTTCCCCAGCACTTGTGGTAGTTGCTGGTTTGTCTGGTTGTCATGCACTGGGAGAGGGAAATAACTCAGACAGCCTTCCTGGTGGTCCAGATGAGAAAAAGACAGATGGGAGAGGACGGAGCCCCGCCGAGCTAGGGGCGGAGACAGGGACATGGGCTCCAGAGGCTGTGTCGGGGCATGGCTGGCAATGGGAGGGCACCGAGGCAGGGCTGTCCCGGGCCCAGGAGGGAGAGAGAGAAAGGACAGAGGACTGGGCGGACAAGCAGCCCTGAGCTCCCGCTGGGCTCTGCCTCAGGTCAGACCCTGCACCCCACACACTGGGGACGATGAAAACACGAGGCGAATTTGCAGCGTTGCTTACAGACACATTGCCGCTAATCCCACTCAGAATCCTCCCCGTGCTATCAGCACACTCACCCCATCGTACTCCCCGCTTTCTGAAGCCATTCCGGAGTCCTCTTGGGTGAGGCTGAGAGATATGATCAGAAATACAGTGAACGCTGCCCCCGAGCGCCATCCGAGGGAAAGGCAGCTCCTGAACAGGGGCGCTGTCCTCGAACACCCTGCTCACCAGACCTGGCGCCTTGCAACTCCTCACATCAAAATGCCCCAAAGGCAAAAGTTCTTAATGGATTCAGGACGCCAAAGCAGCCAAAGACCCTCAGCAAAGAGGACTCCAGAGCCCCCACGGCTGTCTGTACTGCACGTGCACCGGTCCTCCGCAAAGGTCGATGTAACAATTATATCTACACAGGTTTTGTGTGCTCGGTATCTTAAGAATCTAGAGATGATTTAAAGCGTGCAGGAAGATGCGCATCGTTTTTTGTTGTTGAGACAGGGTCGTGCCGCGTAGCCCAGGCTGGCCTCAAACTTCGGGGCACTCCTCCTGCCTCGGCCTTCCCCAGTGCCGGGATGAGAGGCGCGGTGCCACGCACGATATTCCTATCTCACAGAAAACTGAACCTCAGAGGTGCGCGAGACCAGCCAGTCTCGAGGAGTAGTGGGTCTGCTAGTCCGAGTCCTGGTCTCTGATGAGCAAGGGGCGGCGGTGGGGTCCCCCTCCCAGCCAAGATCGGAATCCAAACGACACAGAGAAACACGTGGGTTGGAAGGGATCGTTTTATCCTCACACACACGGGTGACAGGGACCCCTTCCCGGGGAACAGGTGCCCTGCGCTCCCACCCAGCGCCCCGAGTCCCGGGCAGCCTCTGGGCCCCGTCCGCGGGCCGTGCC